GGCTGCGATGCATATATACAAAAAGAGGCGAACAAATTCGCCAATAATGCGTCAAATCGCATCTGAAATAAACCTAAAAAACGCATAGCAACAGCAAAGACGACAAAAGAAGCACTGTGAAGAAGCAGCTCACGTAAATAGAAACAGATACTGTGAGCAATAGCGATGAAGCACAGAAAGAAGAAGCACTAGAACCTGAAGCAGCTGCTTTTCTAAGCATGCCAATGATAATTTTAACAAATAAATAAACACGCTTTGGTTACATCAGATTGCACTCCTCCTTCACACATATATATGCTTGGTATTAGGCGTATAATCCAAGTCGATAGACTTTTGTTGCAAGAAAGGAATGAAGAATAAAAACAACCGGTTTCGGTGATGACAGCAAATCGATTTCCTGAAAATTTGAATCATAACACTGAAACTAGGAATCAATAATTGGCCAAAGCACGGGCTGCCCGTGCGAAGATGCGTTTTTTGCATAGTTCCCCGCAAATTTTTGTCGCTAACTGCACTGGTTTTTCTGCCAGGTGCTTCTAGCTAAAAGAATTTCAGACTGGCCGCCAGGACTGTCAGGAAACATCCGTTCTAAAATTCAGTCTTCTCACGTTCCTGATTTAGCAACTCACCCGAGAAACTTTCACGGGCCCGTACGTAGGTACCATGCTTACCCGCGGGCAGGGTTTGGGCTCATTAATACCCACTTGGACGGGGAATACCCCTCAGATTTCAGCCTTCTAGCTTCTCAGACCCGCGAGTTATGAACTTACCCCAAAGAAACTTTGGCGGGCCCGTACGCGGGTACCACGTGGGTGATGGCACCCATTTTGGGGACTGAGGCCGGCACGTGCATGTAGATTAAGTTCCCAAAATTTCAGCTCTGCAGCTCTTATAGGTCTTGAGATGAAAGTGGGTGACAAACGCACACACAGACACACGGACAAATCCTCGTCAACATGCGTTTTTGCATTGCAAGCTGCAAAAAACGCATAAAAATGAAAAAATCCTCTTCGTTCTTGTTTTCTGTGAGAGGCGAAAACACTTGGAATGAACTACAGAGGCAGTATTTGCGAACGGCAACGGCTTCTCTTTCGAGGGTTGCTTAGAAGTAAGCCAATGGCGGTCGCAACTCCACGACGCGCGTTAGTACCAGTTTACCATCGGAACGAATGAACAAATCAAACTTAGAAGGACTGGTTTAACCCCTCAATTTTTCATTAAAAAATCACCATTTTCTGCCAACAATAATAAAAAAACATGCGAAGCGTACCAATTCATCGGATGGTGGCCCGAAATCGATCCACAGGAAACGATTGCCGTCATCGCCGGTGGCTCGAATTGCCTCGAATGGATATTGCCATCGAATTTGCCCGTCATGCCCGATCAGGCTGATACCTTTGTCGAGCTGAAGTACCAATTCGCACTGCTCATCTTGCCAGGCGCATGCTGCAAGAATTCGCAATATTTCTACGTTAGATGCTAGCAAAATTTATATTTCTTAGCAAAATGAAAGGAATTTTCGTTCAAAAAAGTACTCAGACTGAAAAAAAAGCCAAATAAGTCATTTTATGTAAAAATGCTGTGGGTTGGACCGGTGGGAAGAAATGGTGTTTGCATAAAAGTGCGGAGAGACTCTGCTTCCCGAGACACATAATTAAATGTGGAACCCACCAAGTCATACGGACAAAAGACGAGAAATTGCCCGCTGGATCACCGCGACAAAAAAGTACTGGCAGTGGTAAAAGAAGCAAAACAATACCTTAGGCACAATTTATGACTCATCTCAAAAAACTGATATTTGGTTGTTTCAAACATGTTCTATCTATGGAATCATATCATGCAGTAGTAATTTGTTCCCAGAATATATATGCATGCTAAATCTCAGCAGTAAGCGCTTCCCCAGGAAAAAATCACATTTTTCTGGACTAACTTCCCCGTAGTGCAATGCTCTAAGAATTTAAGTTTATTTGATAACTGCAAAGGTTGATTTTTGGCCTCTCCAACTCACTGCTTCGAAGATTTGCTGCTGAGCTTTTCAGGACTATTCCTAATATTAGCTAAACAAGGATATCTAAATAATCCTAAAAAGAAGTCCGTTCTACCAATTCAGAACGTAGATTTCAAATCACCCGTCAAGTGATACAACAAAAAGAAGGGAACTAGACCTCTTTTCGCGAATGTCTAGATCAAATCGACAAAAAATCGGCGATAACAGTCATCATCTCATTTCCTTTAATGCTCACGACACTTCGACAGATAACCCGAATAGCATGAGCACCACCATCAGGGAAATATATAGTACCACTCATTAAGAGCAAATGAAAAAAACATACGACATGAGACTTGGCCTGTTTCCGTGCATGCCTCGTAGGTGCATGTGACGATGCTTTTCACCCATGCCGCCAGCTCACGATGTGTCTCCACACGTAGCACATGCGATCGAACACCCTGTTGTGTGCCTGTTCTCGTCGTAAATGAAATCACATCCGATAGGCCTGTTATCACCGGCGCTGTTCTAAAATCAAGAAGGAATATGAAGACGATCGGGCCTAAAAAAAGCAAATATTTCTCCGTAAAATCTACATTTCCTTCCCTCATCTTTCATTTTTTTTTGGATTTCGCCTCTCCAGCACATTCTCGTAAATTTGCAGCTGTCATGCTGACGAAGTCCAGTCGTGGTGTTGAGCTCAAATGTTCACAGCTTAATGAGTCGTGATTTTTTGCCTCTTTATTCTCATTAACCTTTTTAGTGCCCCCTGTCTTCGTTAACCTTTCCTTCTTTCCGACTCTTCCATAGTGTTTTAATATGCAGTGACAACAACAGGCCTGAATTCGTTCCAACTGCGTGTTTTCCCTTCGGATGTTGTCCAAGTAATTATTTCTGTTCTCACGGAAACCACTGATTGATAAGCGACATCAACCAGTGGGTCAGGAGCTTTTACATACCTTATTTTTTTTCTGTTCGAATTTTAAAAAACCCTAAAAATCTTGTTTAGCTTTCCAGTCTGAAATGAACCAATACCGTGGTCTAGGACTGGAACCGTTTCTAATGAGATAGTAACGCTTAACATAAACAAGAAAATTACGAAATAGCTAAAATCTCATCAAGTGCTTCCATCGGGGGATGCACTTGACGAGATTTTAGCCTCTTCGTAATTTTTATCCTTTTAGAAAGCGAAACGAACGTCAAGACCACCAACAGGCTGACTACCAGCTAATGCAGCAGAGATCAGAATAACTGGAGAAGTTACCAGCTGCACACATGGAGAAACTGATTATGAATTACGGGTGATCCAAGTACTCAAATTATCTCGTTTTAGAAAATATCCAATTTCATCATGGTTGCTTTTTAAGCGGATGCATGTGAACATTACCGAGATGTGGTCTGCACCACTCTGGTGGCGATCAGCGGTCGAGTGATCATCGGCGATGCCCATTCTGACTTCAGCACC